GTATTTGTCAAGTATCGCTTAGACAACTATCTAAGTAGAATACTTGCTTGAATATATTATTCTACAAATACAAACTCTTACACTCCTTTAAGATACTAGGTGATTGCTTAACGAAAACTTATCTTCTAGACTTCCTTATATCACTCAGTTCCTTTTTGCTTTTTTGTTTTTTAAAAAGTGGAAAATCTGGTTTCCTCTCATAAGAAAATTAGCACTTATACAACTTTTCATTTTGGAATAAGTCAGTTGGGTCACCTGATCCTTATGTGACTAGGGTAAACAAACAATACATAGATTTCTAATATGAAAACTGATACCTTATTAATACATGAAGAGATATACCATAGATATATAATATAGTGTTGATATTATATATAATTTTTACCATTTTGACTGAGTATAAGTTTTCTTGTACTAAGTCTTTTTGTTTCTATTCTGTCTTTTTTATTTCCTCTTTTAGCTTTGTTTTTCTTGTTTTTATTTTTTTATTTTACGTTTTGACTTTTTGTTTATGTAAATAGGAGATTAGGCCAGGTAGTGGATCTACTCCTATAATTTTCATATATTTGTATTAGTTTTTATATTTTCTTCTGTTAGCGAAATCTAACAAAAGAGAGTTGAAAACCGTCAGGTTAGCTTTTTTTTTCCTTCTACAAAAGATTATTATCAGTTGAGTAGTAGCTAATTGTAGGGTATAAGAGAGTCAGACATAGTTTCTCTAGTCTTTTTAGACTAGTATGACAGGTCACATCTGAGTACTCTAGTAGTAGCTGGGTAATGCCAAGCTTAGGAAATTAGGTCGATTGAAAAATTATATGTAACTTGGCTATAGCTACGGTTAACAACCTAATAAAGTTTATGACGTGACTGTTTAAGGAAAAAAAAATAATAATAATAATAATTAGGATACAGCACAGTATAGTTAGGGTCATCTGCAAATCCTTACTAGAATAGGACTATTAGAGTACCTTGTGATAGATAGCTTAGCTCTATAAAGACAAATTGAGATACAAGTTAGTTTGAATGGTCTTTAAAATAAAGTAATACAAAATTAGTATAAATATAAATATTAAGTTAAATATAGAATTTCATAATGATGCTAGAGAGTTTAAATAGAGTATCTACAGGCAGATACTAGATATAGCAATCAGTAGGTAACCTATATAGTAGAATCTTTAAATAGACAATAACTAAAGTTATATATATAGCCAATTGTATTTTTACTAACAAAATATAACTTGAAAATAATACTTAATAAAAATCTGCGAATAGCTTGTTAAAAATAAAAAAAATAAAAAAAATAAAAAAAAATTAAGAAATAACATAATATAGTTAGAATATTTTACAAACTTCTCTTGAATAGAACTAATGAGATATCTTGAGATAAAACCCTTCCTAATAAAAGAAACTAAGATGCAAACTAGTCTAAATAGTTCTTAATAAAGTAATACAAAATTGTACAAGTTTAAGAATAAAATTGAATTGATGTTAAAGATAATAGAAATACCAGAGAGTTTAAAATAGAATAGCCACAAAATAGATACTAAATATAACAATTAGTAAGTAATCTTTAAACAAAACCTTTAAAAAATAATAATTAAAATTGTATATATAACTAATTGTACTCTTACTAACCAATATAAATCTACAAATAATCTAATAAAAATTAACCAATATCAAGACCTTGTTATAACAATAAAAAAAAAAAAAAATTTTGTTATTTTCTAAAAGTTAATAAAATATTTTTTCTTTTTAAATCTTATATCTTTTACTCTATCTAAATATCTTTTTTTCTTTTTAATTATGTTTTTTTTATAAATTTTTTTTCTTAATATGTTTTAATATGTTTCTTAAATATATTTATAAGTTTTCTATAATAATTCGTTTGCTTCGAATTTGATACTTCTATACACAAACTATTTAATTAAACAATAACTAAAATTGTATATATAACTAAATTATATCATTATGTAACTATAAGCAATTAATATATAAAACCACATACTCAAATTAATAAAATCTTGTTAGCAATATAAACCACTTTAAAAGTAAAAAAAACACCTCCTCTAAAAGCCTAAATTCCAAAATTATAACTTGGTTTTTAAAAAACCTAGTCCCAAACCAGGTTTTAAAGTTCTAAATCTAAAAACTTTACCATCCCTAATGCTTAGTATTAAAGTGCCTCTGGTTAAACCAACATTTGGATTTCTTTACCTTAGAGAGCGTCGATATAACGAGTTACGTGTACCAAATTCGTTAATAAACTCGGAAAATATAAAAAATAAGAAATAAAGTGCTTCAATTTCGTATAAAAATAAGCGTTAAAACGCATAAAAGATGTATATTAATCACGAAATACAATGATATGGTCCATATAAAAAGATTCCATTATACACGTATATATTAAGATTTAATAAGATCCTGGAAGAATACATCATCACTTAATACCATATTCACATCCTCTTCATTACCATTAAATTTGATTTGTGCATAAATATCTTTACTCGGGTCCATCGACACAATTGAAGATGACGCGAGATCGTATACGATGTTCGATAGTTCAGTACAAGTTGGTGTTTGGATACCTTTTTTCCTACATATTTTGGTATATTTACCAATTATCTAAAATCAAGGTTAATTTTTGTGTTTTACCGAAATTAATACAATTAAAAAAATAAATTCCGTACATCTTTAAATTCGATCTCAGGCTTTCCATCCCTTCTCAATAACAATAAAGTACATAAAAACATTTTTGCCCGAAAAGAACATTTTCTGATGTATTTCGACCAGGGGGTATTCGTCTTTTTTATGGCTTCTTTAACTATGTCGATGGTAACTTTATTATTTACTTCATCATTCGTCTTTGCTAAAGATTCGAGAATACCTATAGCACGCCTTAAAGACATCCACCTGTTAATATTCACAAACAAACGATGATACTCAGAAGATCAAAGGTATAATTAACCTGCAAATGCATAAAGCATTCCTTGCATCTTGTGAGATAGAACTAACTTTCCTTGCAGCAAATTCGATAGCATTACTTTCAAATAATTCAATTCCGTCAAGTCGTGATTTCACAATAGTAAATAATTCGGTGTGAGTATATGGCGCAAAAGTTAACCTATCCAGACCTTTTACAAAGTAATGAGATATGTTATTTTATTTTAATTTTTTTTTTATGACAAGATTACCATAAAATTATAAATACCTATCCGACTTTCACTTCTAGCTGACAACATTGTAACTGGCAAATCGATCCTATTAGTTAAGGCAATAACGATAAGATACGAATCTTGCAAAGTTGTCCACTCCAAAAAGTTGTAAATCACTCTATTCGTTTTAGTAACCATGACATCAAATTCATCTATCATTAACACACTGTCAATCATAAGAGAATATTATTAGTTAAGAATAATGGATAACAATTTACAGATCAAAGGAATGAAAAGTTACATTGGATTTCGTTGTGACAGTTCATTAAAAGTTTTGCTCAATAAATCTTCAGCAGCTTTAACAGCTATGTTGTCTCCCGTTAAAGCTTCCCATAAAGCAGAGTAAGCTTTCTCCGGAGGTTTCATTTCCATTCCATTAATTTCGACAAACTCGAAAGGATGTAATTCCTATTAATAGACTACATTAATACCAATTATAATTATAGATACAAATAATCATTTAAATGAACCTTTTGATCGACTTTTCTTTGTAAATTTTTTACGACCTGACGTACGGTCGCCGTTTTTCCCGTGCCAGGCTGACCGGATATAACTAAGTGCATATGAATTAAAGCCATTATTCTGTGAATTAACCTTTTTTTTTTAAAAAAAAAAAAAAAGCGTGTTGACCAAATAATAACTCACAAATTCGATGTCCTGAAAACTCTTCGATTGCAGATTTTACCTTGTCGTAAATTTGTTTGTGTTCCCTCTCACGACAGGGCAAGTAATCAGGAACCTCATCAAGTTGCAACATCGCTCTGGCTTTATCATAGCATGTTTCAGGCTTACCAGTTGGTGTAATACGAAGATCAAGTGGAGTAAAGGCAGGAACTGACTTTACTCTATCGCATAGAATTATAAAAAACAAAATCAGTGGAATTACTAAACAGTTTTAACTCCTATATTTTGTTATTTTACCTCACCGAAGAAGGAGTAACAATTTGGCTAGTTTTCTTATGTTTTAACTTGCGAGGAGTTGTTGCACCCAAATCGGAACGCTAAACAAGCAGATCACTTAAAATCTTACAGTCAACTTAAAAAATGGAATAGATAGATCGATGGAATTACCCTTTTTACAACCATATTAGAAATTAAAGAAATTAAGTATTAACGCGTCGCATTCGCGTTCGTTTATAAATGGCAAGTCCGGAATGTGTGACAGGTTGATCGGCAAAATTAAGAAAAAAATATTTTCTATTTCAAAATTTTGCCTATGAAACTGCTCTTGGTGCTTTAAGAAAAAAAATTCTACACATAATTTTGGTATAGTGTTTACCTAAATCCTCTTTCTAACTTCTCCTAATCTAACCCTAACATCAAAACCTATTTAATATAGGCCGATATTGATCAATTAGTATAACCTGTCACACATTCCGGACTTGCTTATAAATGATAATCGACACGTGCGTCAAAAAACAACGGGAATCTCAATAGTCTATTCCGATATTAGGGTATTTGACTATGTACTACAAAGTAAATTCTAAACTATGATACTTACCGGTACACCCAAACTCTTAAGAGTAGAAGTTATATGAACTAAAATAGGCAAATTTATTGGTTAGATATTTTAAATTTTAGGAATTAGAACTTATTGATATTTTGTATAAAATATAAATGTTTTCTAGCTCTTTTGTATTTTAATTATTAACATTATAGAAACAGTTTTCTGATTCTAATCTAATAAATTATTATTATTATTATTATTATTATTTATTTAATATGTTATATATAGAAAACAAGCTAATATTAGATTTGAACTATTTTTAATATTTCTATATAGGCACTAGGTAGTGTAACATATTATCTTCAATTTTCTATTTGCAAACTAGTTTAAGTTAAGACAAAACTACTACTAGTTAAAGAAGAAGAAGAAGAGAAACCTTGTCTAATAAATTATTAAACTTTGCAATATATATATTAAGAGAATTAATGTTTTATATCTCTAATTTACTATTCATACTTCAGTAAATTGAATTTTTGTTTTTTAGCAGTTAGCTTGAAACGAGATACTTAACAGCTACCTGACCCATTCAATAAACATTTTTAATTTAATCTACAGATTAAAATAAAATTAAATAAAATTTTTTTCATTAAATTTTGATTAAGCGAAGATCACCCGATAAAAAAAATCGATGACAGATTCTGTAGAACTGTAGAATTAAGGGACCGTTAGCGCTGGTTATACTTTGGAAAGTTAAATTGTTATAGGACTGTCGATTTTATATTCTCTCCATGTTAAATGAAATTAAATTCAGCTCAATTCTAAACGCATATCTAAATCTGTTATAGATTTTTTTTAATGGTGCATTAGAGAGGGCGTAAAAGCATTATAGGTTTAGCATCGTTATCGTTATATTTTATTAATCTTATACGTAGCATATGTCTATATATATATATATATGCTTTGTACTGTACGACAAATAATTTGAGTTCGCCTTCAAACCAGATTAGGTATTTTTCTTTCCACAATATTATATACGTATAAAAACTCTGATATTTTTGATTTTCCTTTAATCCTCCTATCATTGATTATTGTCAAGATGGATTGTAGGTCTTAATTTATTTTTTAAAAAATCGTAATTATTTATATAGACTATGAAAAAACAAGTGTTCCAATGGAGAATAATATTATCATTCATATAGTTGATTGTATGCTAATTTAAAATTATTTTTTATATAATGAATTATTCATAAATCGGTCGGATAGGTGAGTAATAAAATTTATTGAGAATTTTAAAACATTATTGTCGAACGTGAACATTTATATAAAAAATAATTTACAAATTAATAAGTTTTAAAGGATTATGCATTTTCTAAATTTTCTAAAGAGCACGGCCATTCCGATGAAGATATTGGTAAATTGATTTTTTATTTTTATTTTTTTTTAATTTTATAAAATAATTAAATGAATAAATGCATAATATTTTATATTAATAATTTAATATTGTTTTTTGTATTATTTTTTAAAATAGAGGAATTCCAAAAAATTGCAGATAAAACTCATAAACATTTAACTTCTACTGGAGAACATGAGGCAGATATCGACCATGAAGCAATGCGTAATAAGCATAAGAAAATTTATGAATCAGTTCGTTTAAGTTTATTTATTTATTTATTTTATTTTATTTTTTATTTTATTTTGGCTAATAATTAATATTCTAAAAGTCACAGGAAGATGATGAAGATGAATCAGAACACTCCAATGAAGATCTTGGACACGCTGCAGCTTTTGAAGCAATGAAAAAAATGGGTGGTGGCGATGGCGATGGCGGGTCATTTGATAAATCTGCACTTCTTTCATTAGCGATGAGTGAAGGCATGAAGCTTTGGCAAAGCAGAAAATCTTCTAGTGGTGGAGGCGGAAAAGGTAATTTTAAATTCATTTTTTATTTTTAAAAGATTGTAATTTCTGCTAAATTTACAACCAAATGCCATATTATTATTTATAATAGAGGAAATTTTGCAAGGTGCTTGCTCTATGGCGATGAAACTAATGAATAAAGGTGGTGATGAGGGTGGCGGTAGTGGTTTAGCCAGTATGGCTATGAATTTTTTAAAAAAATAATATTCTTACGAACCTAAGAATAGTTAGTGAAAAAATTTTATTTAATGTATTTTTTATGTTCTAAGAATAAAAATATATATATATTCGACAAATGGTAATAATGAAATTCGTGAACTCTAGAATTGCTTTTTAAATAATTGCAAATAACGGAATAACAAGCAAGTGATCTTTTTAATTAAGTATCGCATCCGAGATCAACAGACCGATGTTTTAGAGTTATTATGCGTACTATGTGCATAATAGCTTCAAATGTTCCTGAAAACTCAATAGAATTATATAAATTATATTTAATAAGTAGATGTTTAATCCCAACATGAAGTCCTAACCCTAACCTAACTTGTAACTTAACCTGTATTTCATTATACAGTACGTATTTTCTTTTTTAGTTGGCTTATGTGACTTATTTTATACTGTATCAGATATTGGGATATACATTCCGGATACGAAATAAAAATTTAGATTGCTATCTATATTTTTTGCTTTTACTAACGATAAATTATTAAAAATCATTCCATTACAAAGAGGAATTCAACTTCCACGTGAATCAGACCCAGTGATCATCATCAGGGACATGATTTTCTGCAGTGATAATTCTTTATTATGGATTCTGCAATATAAAAAAGCTAAATTCTCGTACCAAAAAAAAAAAACCTCTGTGGAAGTTTGTCGCTTTCTGCATCCCTCGTCCCTAAAATTTGGATATTACTTTGCTGTGCACATTGGCAAAATTCATGTGTAACGGGTAACAAATATGTGAGAAATGACAATGACGTAGTTTGATGGTTAGTATCTATAATACTCTTGATGAAATTTAGCTATAGCGAAAAAAAAATAATGTGATTTAAATGATCCAATTTAATTTATTGCAACTTTAAACTTAGAATACTAATAAAAAATATATACATAATGAAGAGTTTTCTAGGGTTTCTATTAATAAATTTGGGTCTCAAAAAATCGGGACCTGTTTTTAAACTATTGTATTTAAACTTAAAAGATTTTTAATAAAACGAATATAATAAGGGAATTGCTATTCGCACCATGAGATACATGTAGATCACCTCGATTTTATCACTTTATTGTTTACAAATTCTTTAAAACTTTTATCAAGAATATCTCGACAACTATTTAACTAAATTCAATGAAAATTTTTTTATTTGAATTCTACAAATCTGTAGAATTCAAATAAAAAAATTTTCATCGAATTTGATC